CGACGGACGACAACGACGACGGACAATCACTCATATGATAAGCTCCGCTCGACAAAGTCGACAGCGGAGCTAAAAACTGGCACTTAACAAAGAGATTGACAGACAGCCCTGTCATGTAGTCCCAACAGAAACAAATATACCTGTACTGTAAAACTATTTATTTTCACTGGCATTTAATTTCACTATTATGATACTATTCACTTGGTATTAAGTTCACAAATTCGCAAGTAAAACAATGAATTCTATTGTTATTTTAAATCACAGATTTTATTTAGCTGATTTCACTTTAAAACCAAGTGAACAATTTATACATTTACAGTACTGTAGTAGATATAGCGACAATTCTTGTATGTACGGTTAACATTCCCACTTGTAATACCAAGTCAGAAACAGTAGAGATATATGGAGCCAGGAAATGTCACCTGGAACAAAAATATCTTTCTTGAAAAAAAAAATTTAAACCTACTGAGAAGATATTCTGGACCATCCATCCATGATATGGTTTTAAATTTGCATCGTATGATTTCATTGCACAAGGACGTAGACTTTCACCGTCATTTACACCATCCAGAAGATTCTGAACAAATCCATGTATAAACTGTAGGGCCCTGAAAAACAGAAATAAAGACGCCTTTTTTAAATGAACAAGTGTCATTTTATAATATTCCACACCCATGCATCCAGCCAAGCACAATAAAATGGGGCACACTATATTACTACATGTATATATCATCTTTGATCTTTCCTGTATTAGATACAGTGTGTGTGATATACAACGATCCATGAAATCATTCAATAACAAAGTTATCAACAAAAAGTACTTCACATCATTCATCATTCATTTACGGTATTCATGAATTTATTCATTCATTAATTCATTCATTAATTCATTCATTCATTCATAGACAATGAAGGTAATCCCCATTTCCATTTATCAGTGAAAAAATCCACTGCGACACTGAGGACTGGAACAGCACACAGGAGTGACATCAGGCACCATTCTCCCAAACCCAACGCCATGTATTCGGTGGTTTACATACAATGTACTCTAATTCATACTGCTGGGTGTGTAGTTGGTTTGGGGGACATTCCCACAAACTTCTTGATGTGAAGCAAACACACTAACCATTGTATCATGCCCAGGAACTGCATAAATTCTTGACTTACCGTTTAAGCCATATAAGGGCGTCTGTGGCAGAGCCCTTATCTGTGATAGTTTTGGCTTCTATTTCACAATCAACCATGTCTTGTAGCGTACTGTATTTCTCAGGATCAAGTTCATACTTCTTTGTTAATTTCTAAATTGTGTGAAATTGAAAATAATTCTTCCATCACCACAGCTGACAGCAAATTCCATCTTTATATTGTATTTTATTTTATTTTGAACAATTTAAATATTGTTGATATCAGTTTCAACTATTTGTGAACATTTTATTTTTTTTCAAAAATTCATAAATAAATATATTATTATATAATATATAAAATAATTTGATAAAACTGACTTCTGAGCTACATGTACCATATTTTACTGGCTTGCTAACGAAAGCTGACATGCCTACTAGTCACATACTAGGGCATCAGCTGCTTTTTCATCAATTTTTTTTAATCCATTTAATACTGCACCAAAATTACCTTTGTACAAGATAAATACATACACGGTACAGTATATGTATAACATGATTTATGTTTATGATAATACCATGCAAATAGTTGAAAAATTACTTTTGGGTGAACACAAAATTTCAAATTTTTTTAAGTACATGTACATGTATTCAATTTTTTTTCAATTTCACTAGATGGTTTAACTATGTCATACCGCTCACAGCCTAACAAACGCATCACAAAATGTGCAAAATATATCCAATTATTATATCATAACTTACTGTGATGTTTCCAGCAATGTCCGACTTCACCGGATAAAATGCTGTAGAGCCCATGACATCTATTAAAAAAAATACACAAATAAGATATTTAATAAAGTATATACAAAGTACATGTATACATAAAAACAATTGATATGACCAATGCATAGCTGAGATTAATGCAATTCTGTACTGCCTGAGTGCATACTTTGTGGTATTCTGGTGATGACTTTCTTATCGTGCATTATTTCTATGTTTGTAGAGATAATTTTAGATCAACAAAATGTTGAAATATGACGTCACTAACCAAGAATGACAAAGTGAAGTAGTTTACACTCTATGAAGGACAGTTTGAACACTGGAACGAGTACAGATACATTTTGAAAATGAATGCTTTTTACAGATTGGTAATTTCTATTGTTTTTGGTGCTAGATGTAAAATAGTATTGTTCGTGTTCAGGCTATACCAAGAATAATATTTCTGGATGTGCTCATGTTGATTTTTTTTTTATCTATTGATTTATTCTGCCCCTATGGCAGGGTCTATGGTTAATGGTCACCTCCAGTTAAGCCAAATGTCACATCAAATTTGCTTACTGAATTACAAATACAATAGAAAACAATAGACAAATTAGTAGTGTCAACAGAACAATAGGCCCCTAGGATTCCCTGTGCAGGTTTCTAAAATATGACAAAGAAATGGTACTAACAGTGTGTTAATTATATGTTTTCATTATTCTGCAAAAGAGTCACCATGCTTGGAAGAACACTGTAAACAATGTAAATTTGACAGTGTACCAAGCAGGACTAATTGAAATAATTTGGTAACATCTGAAGTATCTGTTGTTGCCACCTTATAAAGTGTGTATGCATGGTTTTATAAGACACAAATGTAAAATTATGCAAGTCATGTGACATATGATGAAGATCTCACATAAACTGAAGAAGTCACACGAAATATGAGATGATTACACAATCAAAAAAACAAACCCACATTTCTAGCAATTCTAATGCAAATTAATAAGTCTATAAAAGAACTGAACCATTCTTGCTTATTAGTCAGAGATAATCTCTGTCATTTATGTTATACATAATCACCATACATTGTCATGACAATTGCATACCCTCATCATATTAACCTTTGCCATCTGTTAGTTAGGCCTATATAAAGATATGTGTCAATTAAAATGAGGGTAGAATACAAAGGTTTAGCTTTTGCCTTCAGATTTACATTTAAAAATCTTAACACACATTTGTTATAAAAATCTCATAATTCAACATGATTTGTGATAATAAGATAATATATCTGAAAATTATCCAATCTGTAAAATTTAACTTCAGGACTTTTTTCTTTTTTATCTGAAATAAATATTTTTTGCTAGTTTTTCACCTTCATAGCATAATGTGAAAATGCCACCAGATCACAGGTTTTTTTTATACAGCCATGCTAACTGGTGAAATGTAACTAAAATAATTTATTTCTGATAAACCAAAAACAAAGTCTTGATTTTGCCACTCTACTTATGAGCCACATTATTGTGAAAGTGAGCAATATTACATTAGGTTGTTGACTGTCCACTTAACCAGTACCAGTTTTCAGATGGAAATATCTCCCACTCTACTCACACATAAAAGTTTACATAAAAAAATATTTAAAAAAATAATAACTAAAACATGTCTATATCATTAAATACAACACTCTTAAAGCCTGTCCATTAACGAAGACTACCAGCATATTGATCAACACCCAACGGTTGTACATGTATGTACTCAATCCACAATAAATCAAACTGACAAATATTTTTTTTGGATTTGCAATAACTACCTAATTAATAAACAATATTCATATATATTATATGATATATGAGATTTTTTGTTTTTACATTTAAGAAATTTAAAGCTTTCAAAGTTGACAGTCAAGTAGGTCAAAAAACAGTATTATAGAAAAAAAATATGCATAAAACCGACACGTCCCCAGTGTGACTCGTGTTACAAGTAAATACACTCGTTTTGACACTCACCAAAAAAAGGCAGGATGTTATCCTCCGCAGCTAACAGAAACGGCATGGTGTCAATTTTACCATCTGCTCTGATCGGTTGGAAATGATGCTCACGTTTCTTGAAAAATGTCATTGTTATTTAAACACGGCAACTGTATCGAAAGTGAAGTGTAAGAACTGGTAACGTTTCACCGACTGACCGGCAAATAATTACACGAGTGCATTATTGATGACTCAAAACACTGAACCCGGAAGTGTCACTAAACGCATGCGCTTATTTAACCTCGTGCAACGATTGTTATAAACTGTCCCCTAAAATGTGGACTTAACAATGCATTGAACTTTTTTTTTAATAATTTTATCAGTTGTTTAATTATTTACATATACAATTTATCAATTACCTAATGTTCAATATAATAAAGTTTCTTGAGAGCACTTCAAAATAATATTTACTAGTCCGCGAACGAGTATCAGGTAGAGCATGCGCACACATGCTCAACGACTTCATATTTTGATTTGGTTGAATCTGTCATCTCGTTTGTGTTGCAGCAGATGCGCTATTTATACTGGAATATAGCTGTTTTCACATAGATTGCTTTCGTTACTTGTTTTCAAGAAAAGACTGATCAATCTAGTTCGAGTACATCTGACCCGCTCCGATAAATTTGTGTTATTTTTTGGGCTGAAACGGCTGATTGTTGTTTCACTTTGATCGCAGTTCTTGAGATCCTACAAGTCGATGTACGCCAGGTAAATAACGTTCAACGCCTCAGGTATACCCCAAGCACTCCTTCAACGTTGCTGTGAGCAGTTCATTACAATATATATCACGCTGACAATACAAAACGTGTATCGTTCTTGTCTCTGCAAGTTAATTGAACCTTCAACTTTATCTTAGGAAGGAATGAATGAACGAGTTCGTATCGACCGGATTCAACTATAATTTTTTAAGGAGTAACAGACGCAAAATATCAACAAGCGTGTTCGAAAGACATGGCTCTACCAACACTGCCAGCCTACTGGCAAATGAAGTACAAGAATATTCAAGAGAAGAACATTGTACAGAGAAGAAACCATGACCATGATTTCAGGGAAAAATGGGCCCAAAATGCAAACTATTTTCACCAGTCGGACGTGCAGACGACGAAGCAGAGAGCCTGGTCTTCAGATAGTTCGTTTCAAGACAGGTGATTATTTTTATAATCTTTATTTTATCTAATTTTGCAAAAGTGCTGCACAAAAAAACTCAAAAAAAAAATTAGTGCACAAAAAACAAGTTCGGGCATGTTTTACAGATGTCTTGTTCAGTTTTAAAATATAGCAGAATATTAATTTCTCATTGTGTCTGGTTGTATTTGAGATATATTCGTAAAAGATTGATTCCTGATTTTTATTATCTATGCACTCCCTTTATGTTAGCCTGAAACTTATTCAAACAATAAAATGTATTTACATTCGCAGCATGGATGCTTTCAAAAGAAAACATGAGAGTGAAACTAAAAAAATTAGATTGACAGAGCGTAGACGAAAACTTCAACAGTTGATTCAAAGCGAACGTGACCAATATGAAGCAGAATTGAAAGGCTTATCATCAGATAACTATCGACGACTAGATTCAATGAGGGAGAGAAGTGAGGAGTTGAAAACGCAGAAAGAAACAGCCAGGAAACAGGTAGAATAATGTGCATTTTTGTAATTTTTTATAAAAACAAGTACTATATTTGCTCTCTTAGTAGTGCATGCGATAAATGTGGTTAAAATAAGTCATATTTTAATGATCATTTTAATGATCCCACATATAATAAATGCAATTTTTGGCTTATGTGCTTCTAATAGAGCAAATACTGTAATTGTTCTTGCATGGTCAGATTTATTCATCCCCAATGATGATTTTTTTTTCCCACTATATATTTTGCACCAAGTTCTAGTATGAAATATTGTATAGTATCGTAGTATTGTAATCTGGCTTCTTCTGGCCAATCGTTTTTATAGTTCGTAGACGACAACTAGCTGAATACAAGGAGTAATAACAATGTTTTATTATTTACGTATTACTGATTTTATTTACTCTTAATGATATTTCAGATTGCCGATGAGAAATTGTATCAACACTTTAGAAAAAACAACCCAGATTTACGAAAGGTGAGTATTTAATATCAGTATTTTAATATCACCTTATGTCAGTGTAGTGTGGCAATTCCAATGAATCTTAATATGCATGTCAATCACAAGATTTATTTGAAGCTTATAGAAGCAATGACGCATATAGTGATTCTAACTAGTACTATATAATGAAAACTAATCTTTCCAGATTTATGCCTAGTGTGGCTGCTATTTAGCAGATGAATGATTGTTAATACATGTAGATAATTTTCTTCCATAATGGTGTCAAAGACATTCCCTGAATGGCTGCTGCAAAATTGAATGATTTGATTTTGAAATAAATTGAAATATGATGTTGGGATGCACTCCAGCAAATTTGACTATCAAATGTGTATGGCACATTATTAAGCATGTAAATCCCACATGCTGTGTCTTTTTGTCTTTTTTTTTTTCAATTTCATGCATAATGCAGGATCTTGCAGTGAGCAGAAATGGTCTATCGGTTTATCATTATATACTAATATCTTTTGAAAGGGTGTTTATATTACACTTAAACTAATAATACTGATAATAACAAATTATTGACGATTAGCGTGGTTTTATTATATTTCTAGATTGAATCAGAACAACACAAACAATTCGTGATAAATAAATGGTCTGAACAAGTAGAAGAAATGGAAGACAGATTGGAATCTGCAAGAGAAGACAAACGGAAATTTGATGAAGAGTTGGAAAGAGAACGACTTGCCGCAGTAGAAAGAGACAGGAAGTATCAGGAAGCGAAGTACAGAGACGAAAAGGAACAGGCTGCGATGTTGAAGGAACAAATGATGGAATTGAGGGCGCGAGAAGCTGAAGTAAGATTACAATATTATATATTTTCACGTAAATGTTATTTTCATTTTACGTTATATTGTCCAAATTTGTTAATAATTGTTGCATTTGTACATCTCTCTCTTTTGTGTTATACTCAATGTGTTTTATTTTATCAATAAATGACAGGCCAGTAGACTGAAGCAAGCGGAAGCTGACCTGATGAAACAACAATGGCAACTAGAACAATTGGAATCTCAGAGGAAAGCTCTGGAGGAAAGACGAAAGAAAAGTGAACTTGGTAGAGTACTGACAAGACAGTATAAAGCCCAACTCAGAAGACGATCGCAACAAGTACAAGAAGCTTTGGTAAGAATTTTTGTACAAAACAAACTCAACTTGGTGTCTGTTTGTTTTTTACCAGGGTGGTGGGGCAATTTTCTCAGTGAATTTATTGTTCAGTGTAACAAATTTTGTGAGCGTTTTTGCATATGCATTCAATAAGAAAAACATTTGTTTATCAAACTGCCTGTTTTTTACTGTGTAGCGTTAGATAGCGACTATAGAAGGTGACTCGCCGGTGTAACAAAAATGGAAAAAGGATTCTGGAATCTATTTTTTTATTACATGAAATATTATGTTATTGCATTTAATGTCATTGAACTTGTAATTAGTGATACCTTTGCCAGACTTTCTTCCTCACCTCTGCGTGATTATGATTTTATAGGAACTTGATCGAAGGATCTTGGCTGCTCTTGCTGAGAAACAAGATGAAGACATGCAAGTGCAGACAGCCAGGAGAGAGAAAGCACGAGCAGATGCTGCCTGGATGAAACAAGTTGTGGAAGACCAACTCAAACTGGAACAAGCCAGAGAAGCAGAACTTGATATGCTATACAGGTTTGTGTTTCAATATTGTGGGCAAAATGTTGCTGTAATTTTGTTTTAAGTATTTGCAAGATATTCAGATAATCACACAATTTGATTTGCCACCCAACTCTATTAGTATTATAGGAACTTATGTATTGACCTTTGTGTGTGTATGCGTCCTTCCGTCAGTCTGTCCATATCCAGCCATATTTCGCACGTCCTTAGACCAATTAATCACACATTTTCACCATTCCGAAACTGGATCTCAGTCGTACATGCACAGTTTCTGTTCAAACTTGTTACATATGTGGAACATAATGAGTCCTTGATACACATTGTTTTATTTTTTGGATTGGGTTCAAAATGGCCAACTGGTGACCATTTTGTTTTAAAGAATGCAGTTACGGATTCATATATCCTACATGCCTGTACTGTTCAAGTTCAAACTTCATAGATACATCAGACACTATATCAGACAAATGCTCATGCATTTGTTTTATGATCCAATTCAAGAAAGCAGAATTGTGGCCATTGTAGTGCTAGGAATTCATCAATATCAAGCATTTCTGCCATTCTGAAACTGGATCTCAGTCATGCATGGACATATTTCTTTCAAACTTGGTATGTCTATTATACATAATGGCTCCTTGATGCATGTCAATTATTTCCCAGATTTGATTCAAAATGGGTGGCTGATGGCCATTTTGTTTCTAACAATAGTTGTTTTCGGAGCCATATTGCTAATATGGCTGGACTGATCATGTTCAAACTTTACACATACATCACGCATCATTTGCACATGTATCTGTTTCAGAATATTAATTAATGTTTTAACAAGAAGTCAGGCTGGGCAGAACCCTGATCCTGGGGAAGTTTAGCACACTCCAGAAGCAGAATAGGAGCCAGTAATGCATGACAACAGAACAAAAGTTTATAACAAGTAGATATTCATTTAACCAGCCCTCATTCGTGAAATGTGTCAAAAGGTGACCCAAAAGGTAAATTATCTCTGATGCATATTATTGTTTTACAGAGATGAAGCGGCCAGAGTTTGGCAGAAAAGAGAATCTGAGTGGGAGAGGGAGAAAAAAGCCAGAGAGAGGCTTATGTCGGAGGTTAGTGTTTATCTACAGATCTCATCATATAAGACTTGTACGTTCATATACAGCAAAACATTTCTAAATTGGCTATGCCTAATAACACATTAATATTCGTCAGGTTTTACAAGGACGTCAAGAACAGATTCATGACAAGATGGAAGAAGTAAGAATACAACAGGAGGAGTCATTAGAAAGACGAGAGGAACTGATACGAGATTTGGAACTAGCACAACAACTAACACATAGAGAGCAGGCAGTCGCAGAACAGAAAAAGAAAGAAACCAGAGCAGAAATTGATGCCCAACTCACAGAGCGCCGAGACAGAGAAGCAGAGGCAAGGAGACGTCTTGAAGATGAGTTAGAGAGAGAGAGAATGGCGGAAAGAGATTATGAGGAGATGCTACGTGAAGAAGCTTCTCAGATGTCTATTAGAGGTTTTGAACCACAGGTATACTAAATTACATTAACATTTGTGCTATTTTTTTGTAATCAATGTGATAATGGTGAAAATTATGTCATGCATATGTTTATAATCCAGTGTTCTCCCCAGGAATTTAAACCACTGTGGCGGACTAATTTGCATATGATTTGCATATCATTTACATAATAATAGAGATTGACCAAAGCACATTTACACCCACATAACAAACAACATATATTTTCAAAAACAATGTGGCACATATTTATTTGCTTCATACAGTGTTATAAACACTATTCTTTTGGGATATTAATGAGCTCAGTCCCAGTGCAAATATTTTTTCTATTGGAGTCAAAATATTATGTTTCACAATTTAGAAGAGTTTGAATTTAAAAATGAAAAATTGTCGAATTGAAATGCAAATGCTGCACACTATTAAAAACAAACAAACAAATAAATTGTAAAGAGCTAAATGAAATGCATTTGAAATGTTTCAGCCAGGAATATGTTCTCGACTTCCATGATCTTATTTACTACAAAAACATCACCTTCTACAACGTTTACATTTACAGTAATGAACGAACAAATAAAACTTCCAAACGATCATCAAAGTTACAACGTGACTTAACTTACTTCGAGATGTTATACACCGGTTATACCAATAATTCCTCTTACTCAGTCATGCCATGCAAAAAATGTTACTTCTTTTTTTATATGAAATAAACGTAAAATTTGAGCGATTATTTTTGATCACTCGATCGCTTCAGTGAAAAACACAGACCGCCATGATAATTGTGATGTATTAGTTGACCGGCATGTGTCCTTTGACCCGATGGGTCAAAAACTCCATTAACCAATCAGAATATCGCATAGTAATGCCGGCAGAACCCGAAGTTTTCCGAATGGTAGTGATCATAAAAATTACATTGCGGAAGTAAAGCGATGTCGTAGCACGATGTGTTGGTATGGATTTCAGATGAAAACTGCATGATGGTTTTCGAAATAGGTGATAAGCAATTTTTAAAAGGTAAAAGAAGTCTTGAAAGAAGAGTTTTTACATGATTCGCGATGATAAAAGTTCATATGTATTTTACCCAATCATGCAATAAACACGTTGTTTTTTTCTTGAGTAGCGTAAACTGATCGTGTACTCCGCTTTGCCCATGTTATGTCGGGGTGGAATTGATTTTGAAAAATGTTAGCTTTCAATCTAAAGACTGCGTCGATTGTCAAAGTATTTACTTACGAACAAAGAGGTGCTAATTTTACAAAATTAACTTGTATTGTTTATAAGCCACTGCCACATTGTGCGACTACATCTGTTGTTTACAAATTATAATCCACGACTGGCAGGATGCGTGTCGGTCGGTACGTCAGACAATAGTCCTGGTCGGGAGCGTGGCAAGATCCCTGATAGCTACGTATTTCTTTCTATATTTCGTAATACAGTTCACAGGATGAACAATGAAAAAAGCACTGTGGCGGTCTTACTAATCACCGTGGCGGCTCAGGTCCACAGTGGCGGGCAGGGAAAGCAGCGTGGCGGCCCCGCACACAAATTGAATGCTGGGGAGAACACTGAATCATAGCATACAAAAGGCATTTATTTTCTAATTGTCTAGGTGTTTCTGTATGCATAGTATGAACATCCAAATATTTTACCCTATGTGTGACATCATTTTTGCTCAGTTTTATGTGGATTAGAATAAATACAAATGACACAACTTCCAAGACATGCATGTTACCTCATACAGGTCATTCCCTGCTAATACTGGATGCAGCATGAAGTATTGCAAGAAGTCGTAAATTTTCAAGCACTTAGCATGAAAAAAATATCAATATTGCTTCTGCATCAGCAGAAAATCACAAAACCCGTCATGAGAAGGAGTGTGAGCATGAAATATAGTAGCAGTGGAGAACACAGTGTGTGTACTTCAAGATAAATACTTATTATTGTTGTGGAATACACAAATATTTGATGTGGAGATTTCTGTTTAACACCAAACTATTTAATTTGTCAAATTATTGAGTCAGGATGTATTAAATAAACTAACAATTCAAATAGTTTTTGAATGACAACTGTCCATTTCACCCTGTCAGTCACTCGCTCTCTTATTGCAACAACAAAAATGCAAATACATATTCAATTCTTAGTATATTACTCAAAAATATGAAAAATAATATTCAATACAAAAAGGACTAAGAAACACACAATTGCTTTATTTATTAATACTAAATATCTGTATTTGTTATTTCTCTAGTCACATCCAAGACCAAGATCTGCATGGGATTAATCAAATGGTAAAAGTCAATCATAGAACTCACTGCAGTTTGAGAACCACTCAGCTATCCCTCCGTGTATCAAGATTCACCAACTGAAGGAAGCCGTGCATGGAAACTACAAGCTTCAACACTTAGGCTGCGACTTGTTGTTGCTCAAACAATGCAATCTGTTTATTTCACCGTACTGCCTTTTGTATGTTCATCTTATTGTACAGATAGCAATCACTTTATAAATATATATAAGCACTTGATTCTTGTTTTTCATCTAGCGATGTAATTTATAGTATATCATATATACATGCCTTAGTGTTAGACCACACATTCATATACAAATAAATAAGTACTTAAGTTTGTTTTACAGGGTGGGTGAATTAAACGCATCATATATGCAACATATACATGTGTATATTACATGTTTCAAATATATGGTGTACAGTTTTTAAAAGAAAGTGTGGTTGATTCAATTTTTGTCATATATAAAAATATACACGATTTTTGTGAGTCTAATTTCCATTCCAACTTTCATTGCTTTGATAACAGGAAATATACGTTAATTTTTTTTTCTTCTTTTGTTAATTGTGTAAATTTATATTTGATCAGTTGCCGTCCTAACATGTCACACAAATAAACTTTTTCATTCCCTTATTACAGAATAAAATCAGATTTTTCCACATTAGTTGTAACAACAACTTGTTTACTGCTCTTTCACAGTCTGAATCATTGTTCGTAGCACTTTATTGTGGTTGACATGTGTCATATATGATGTATACAACGTATGTAAAATGTGCTTTACATGTATTGTATACATTGTATTGTCCAGTGTAACATTTGGAATTTTTAAAATCACTGCAAATGACAAAAAAGAAATAAAAATTGATGATACATAAACTTGTTTCCATGGAAACTTTGACTTTGCAATTCCCCTGTAACACTACTTTGATGGTCATTTTGATTTGGAAATGTACATTTGAGTTCATAATTCAAAAAATAATTTGAGTATGTCAACGTTCACAAGGAATAATTTAACTGATACAGAAATTTTGTTTTAGCGGTGACAACCTTTAAACTACCACCCATTGTGAATGTGCAATTTGACCAGTTTAGAGGTGACAGTACTAAAACTATGAGACATCAGCAGTTTCAATAAAAAAACATCTACCCGTTTTTGAGGACTTGTTGCTTCTCAGTCTCAACTATTGTGATGCATCCTATGGTTAAACATCATTGCCACTAAACTCTGCACCAGATGGTGTTGCATTCAACATATGGATATAATAATCTATCATATTTATGTATTTACTGATGAGTAGACATCTATACATTGTAATTATAATTCTATCAAATTTGATATCATTACTTTGCTTTTGTGATAAAGAAGTTGGCTCAGAATGCGTTAAAATATATGAGGCTTATGATGAATATATAATCGCACAGCAGTTGAGAATTTCAAACCATCCATTGCCCATAGAAACGAGGTGTTACAACACTACACATATCTGAGTATATTTGTCAACTATGTGATCCAACAGACATCGCATATGATGTGCATTACATAATGCAGTGCTCCAACACAGAAATTAAATCGTATAGGTATCAACAATTTAAAAAATAAAACCAAGATTGTAAGTATGTTTATTGGGTGCTGTGGGTACTTGTCTGGTTGTGCATTTTGCTCGATGAAAATAAGGTTATTATTAGGATACCTCAAATGATGCACAAAGACAGTACAGCGGGAGTATCAACCGATGCGCAAGGATACATCATGAGAATGCCAAAATTCAAAAAGTTTAGAACAGAATCAGCGAACTTCTTTTTGTGGAATCTGATCAAACCCTTGTGGCAGCCATGTTTGTTTTTATTATTAGAGGACGCTTACACGCGTAATCATTCCATATTTGGAATTCGCATTTCCTAATATAGTAGGATGAAAATACCCTGTAAAATACTGCAAAATTACAGCATGCTGTAACTGATGGCGTTACGGTGACAGATGTATAATAATTGTAGTTATTAGTGTTCATACTTCTGTACTGTTTCTAATCAGTGTTGTGTCAAATAAATACACCATAATACGAGGCTACTACAATCTGATCTTGAGCCCATGCCCTTGATTTCAGATGCCCTTTACTACAACTACTGACAAGACGGG